AAAAATTAGTTAGGAATGTTTTTGAGTTCCACTAGTCGTTTATTTTCTCCTGCCAAAAATCAGCTGGAAGTCGAAAAAAAGAAATTAGCTAGGTAGTGAGAGGAGGAGTTAAAGTTTATTTTCTACATTGAGCCTTATGCAGGAATAAAACCTCAAGCCTCTTTTTCTCAGTTTCAACTAAATGTGGATTGGTCCCTTCCTGATGTTCCTTTCGGTTCAATTGGCTTAAAAAAGTGGGAACTTTAATTCTTGACCGAAACCGTTTTTTTGTATCCGAAGTAATGAGTTGTGGCCCCATTTTTTTTTAGTTTCGAGCCGAGAACACGATGGATTAAGTAATTGAAATTTGGATTTGATGGCCGCAAAGCGAAACCACGTATCTCTTGTCGTGACGTTGTAGTCTTTCTTTATACATATACTCTACTTTTCTTCGGAGAACAAGTCAACGCTAGTAATTCTTTGAAAAATTCCTTTACGTGATTCGTTTTTCTGTTATCAGAATATTTGGATTTTTCGCTGATTTCTTTTCAAAAAATGAAAAAGGAGCGGCAATTTTGAAACATCGCAACGATACGCACTTTGGCCATCAAAATATTTCGATGGATAAAGTCGACGAAAAAACGTATATCCGCCTGTCGTCGCTGAGATCTGCTTATGTTTTATTTTCCTAAAATATTACCTACTGGCCAGTTATTATTTTACTCGAATCTTTCGGTGAATTTTTTTCTCTCATTCAAGAAAATTCACCGAAAATGTCAAGAGTTATTTTGGTTAGTTCTTGTAAAAAAATAAAAATAAATAAATAGAATGCAATCGAAAATTTTGAAACGTTTCGATGGATCTATTCGCTCATTTTCATTTTTAGTCCTACAAACTGCAATACCATGATAACTTCGGTTTGGCCCTAAATTTTCGGGAAATTTTGTGCCAAAATGTAAAACACTCCTGTAGGCTGTGGTACGAGTGTGGAAATTTATGCCTAGTTTTTTATACTTATTGGAGTGGGTCTGTTAAAGGGACCCAAAAATAAAATTCCTACGGGAATTTGGACTGGCTCTGTGGCAGTTGGACACAAAATAAACATAATTTTGTAATTTTGTTGTATTTTGGTGATAAAATTCAGGACAACAAGAACAAATAAATAAGATGAAACAAGAAAGAAAATAATATAAATACTTATTAACTAGTCTGTAGGTAAAATGCAAAAATATGGCTACTTAGATTTATCAAAAACTTTTTGAGAGAGAAGAGAGGAGATTATAAGCCCTGAAAGAGTGAATGGTAGGATTCGAAAACTAACCTTTATAAAAAAAAAGCAACAAAATATCAAAATAGTTACGGCTTAATTCTGCGCTGCCAGAAACCTGAGATGAGAATTAAATAATTTTTATATACTCAGAATAATGGAAAAAAAAAGCTACCAATTTTTTAGCATTAATTGAGAGAGTAGGTAAAATTAAGGAGCAAAATGGTTTCAGGAATTTTCGTCCAATTTTTTTTGTCCTAGCGAATTTTTGTCCAAAAAATTTCGTCCAGTACCAGTTAGTCCAATAAGTTTGGTCCTACATTTTTCGGTCCAATCCATAAAATGGCCCTGCGTTGTTGGTCCAATCTTTTTTTTTTTTGTCCTTTTTACAAAGTTTTTCTTTTGGACCAAGAACAGTGCACAATAGGAATGAATTAGTGACGAGTGAGGCAAATATCAACATATGAATTTAACCTTAAATTTTAACAAGAGGATATGCTACCATGGTGATTAGGAATGAATGAAGGGCTTTTTTATCTTTGTCTAACCTATAAAGGTTAAAACAAATTCAATAAATTCAAAATTTCAAGTCTTATGTAACTCTTCGTATTTTTTTCTTTATTTTTTTTTTTCGAAATTCCAAGTTCAATTTGTCTGCAAATGGCTCCGATCCTAATGAAATCAACAAAAAATAAATCAATCCTGAGTAATGAGGGGTATGTATACCACCACCACTCGTTCAACAAAGGAAAAACTAGAGAATATTGGAGATGCGAACGACGATCGGCGTGCAATGCCAGATGCATAACAAGCGTTGGGTGCCTTGAAAATGTTGCCGAACTTGTCATTTTCAAATGTGACACAAGCAAGCATCTACATCCACCAGATCCAAGCATGATCCAAGTCCGAGAGATTGTTCGGAGTATCAAAGAAACCGCAAAAAATCAACCAAATGCAGCCCCCAGCACAGTTATCAGACAAAATTTGCAGAATGTCAGCAATGAGGAAATTCTCATGCGCTTGCCACAGAAAAATGCTTTGAAGCGAGTGGTAAATCTACAACAAAACTTAGGAAGACCGCGGATCCCTCAGTCTTTGAACGATGTCGTAATTGACCACCCTTACTCGCATACTAAAAATGACGAGCCCTTCCTTATTTTCGACAACGGTGCGGGTAGTCCAGAAAGAATCATCATTTTTTCAACAGAGAGCAACGTGAAAATACTTGGAAACAGCGATACGATATTTTCTGATGGAACTTTTAAGTCGGTCCCTAACCAATTTTTGCAGCTCTACACTCTTCACGGCCTTTTCATGGGCGTTGTCCTGCCTTTAGTTTACATGCTGTGTTCCAATAAAACCGAAGACACTTACAACGTTCTGTACCAACAGCTTAAAATTTATGCAGTATCTATTAACGTTCACCAGGTCCACTTCCAACATGCTCTTACGGATTTTGAAATCGGCAATATGAACGCTTTAAGACGGGCTTTTGATGGAATCCAGATTAATGGATGTCTTTTTCATTTCGGACAATCTCTGTGGCGACAAATAGTGAACAAGGGGTTGAGAAACGCATACCTTGACACCGAGAATTCAGAGATAAGGAAGCATTTATTGGAGTTGATGGCATTACCATTTATTCCTGAGGAAGATTTGGTAGCAACATTTGATTCGCTCGTGGAAGAAATTCATGAAGATGTCCTAGAGTTTGCCGAGTACATCGAGCGCACTTATGTTCGAGGGAGGCGAGGAAGAGGTCGTCGACGAGCAGTGCCCCCACTTTTCCCACCACGTGTATGGAATTGTTACACATTAGTTTTAGAGGACAGACACCGCACAAACAACGTTGTCGAAGGTTTCCATTCAAAGTTTAATCGCCTCGTGGGCACGTATCACGCCAATGTTTGGAAATTTATAGAAAAACTCAGAGACGTCCAAGAGGAAACTGAACAAAATATAGTCCAGAAAAGAGGAGGACACAACATTTCGGCTCCGGTCAACAAAACCTACGTCACGAATCAGGACAGAGTGAAGGCCATAGTTGAACGGTATGCGCAGTACAAAGGAGAGGGCGAAGTCAAAACCTATCTGAGAGCGCTTGCTTACCACTTAAAACTGCATTCAAATCCCCAACGTCCTGAACCCAACTATTGAGATAAGAGGTATTTTCCCCTTTTCTAACATTACCACCCCTATATTCAGTATTTTCCCCTTTTCTAACAGTAACACCCCTTTTCCTTAAGTACTTGTTTTTAGGCGCCAAAAATATTTTTCTTAGATTAACTTCTTCACCTAATATGCAGTTTTGTGTGCGTCTTGATTATTTTCATTTTTCGAGTTTGTGTGTTTCCTTTCTCACTGATTCAATTGGACAAAAATAAAATCTGCTCATTGGACATATAAGTATGTATGGGTCAAAGTAATAAAGAGGACTAAAAAAGGTAGGACAAATTTTCTTTTGGACCAAACTAACTACTGGACAAAAATGTATAATGGACCAAAAAAAATTGGACACAAAAACATTGGACAAAGATTCTTATAACCAGCAAAATATCTAATTGAACAGGAGTAATTGATTCAGGTTGAGCTGGGCTGGTTTAAC